CCGTCCAACCCCGAAACGGGCTGCCGGGGCCGCCGCAAGACGGAGAGCCCGCCTCTGTCTCCAGGGCACGAGAAATGATTCCAGAAAAAAAAACAGTTTAGAAGAACGAGGCGAGCGTGCCCTCCCCTGACAAAGGTCATTCCGTTTAGTCTTCGAGCAAATGGTCAGGACGTTAGTTCTTCTTTCTTGTCATACGATTGGAAAGTATTGACGCGATGCCGGTGTCCGACAGCGTCACCAGATGCCCGCTATCCAGCTGGAGTATTGATCACATGTCCTGTTCAATGGTCAAAGTGGTTCTTCAGGGTGAACAAGTTGGTGACATTAGTTTTTTGTAAACGCTACAGGGAAGAAAAAAAAAAACCTGATCTGTTGACCAACAACATCCTTTCCCGACGAGAAACCGGACAGTTGAGATGACATTGGAGCGAACCCTCCACAAGAGAACTAGCATCTGAGGTTTAACTTTCAGGAGGATGCAGCACATTCGGGGCAGGAGTTAGACTAAAAAATGTCGCTGGATCGAACAAAGTATAGAGGGGATTTTTTTTTTTTTTTGGTGTGTAAAAAAAACACTATATAAAACAGCATTATCATCAGCAAAGAAAAATCATTGAGAAAGTCCTTCCTACCTCTGCGTTTCACTGCTACACTCCCGTGTTCCATCCCAGTTTATTCGCCGAGACTCGGGCAGACCCAGAGTCGTGGTTGGTGTTTGGTTCCCAGGAAGCAGCAGCAGCAGCAGCAGCAGCAGCAGCAGCAGCAGAAGGAGAAGGAGAAGAGTCGGCGTCCTTACCCCTTGGTGCAGCTCGACAGCAGAGACACTGGATCTTCAGCAGCAGCTACAACCCTCCCATCATCCACCCTGAATTAATTAAAGCTGTTTTCCCTCCCTAAGCTGCCCTACCTCTGCCTCTCACTTCTCTCTCCCTCTCTCTCCCTCTCTCTCTCTGATTCTCATGTGCGCATGGTTATTGCCCTCCCTCTCTATCTGTGTGTGGTGTGTGTGCGCCTCTCTCTCTCTCTCTCTCTCTCTCTCTCCCTCTGTCTGTTTCCTTCTGCTTTCAGTCACCCCTCCTCCACTCCTTCCTTT